TTTTTAATATAGCCACTTCTGTTAGGGTCTAACGACAGCCCTCTTGAACTTTTGTCAAATTAACCTTTTGACCTTAGTCAACGATGTCTGCTTTGACCAATCAAATTGACAACAATGATATAAACTTTCGTTCCTTCTTTATTAGCTTTTATTCTTAATGTAGTCACTTCAGTTAGGGTCTAACGACAGCCCTCTTGAACTGTAGTCAAATTGACCTGATAAACACCATGTTACAAAATGCCAGCGCTGGAGAGGGTAGAAATTTGATTGGTTAAAGCAGACATCATGGATAGGTCAAAAGGTTAATTTTATGAATGTTGAAGAGGGCTGTCGTTAGACCCTAACTGAAGTGGCTATATTAAAAATAAAAGCTACTAAAAACCATTCTTGTTGTTTTTATTTTCTAAATAGTTTTCTTTCCTGATAATTCAGTTTTTTAAGAAAATGTATTGTATTCTTGAAGGACAAAAACATGGCTACCATCTGGTCTACCATTGAAAAATTCTGGTTTTGTGTTGACCTTTGAAAGATGTCAAAAAGAAAAGAAAATATGCGTAAAATGTTGAAGAATGGTTTCCCTGGGGGTTAACCTTTACTATTTTTCACAGATGGTTCCAGTTGGAATCCTGTCTTTGAATCAAAGGAATTGTTTAAGAGTCGGTTCCTGAAAGCATTCAAAGAATATTAACAACAAAAATCTTGAATGAAACTTTGACAAACTCGTATTTTCATGAAAGAGATTGTAAAGAGGTTTTCTAATCGTTTAGACACTGACAGGGACACTGATAACATCAATTTACATCATTCTAATTTTCAATCAGATGTCTGTGGTTCTTGTTAAAGAGATTGTAAAGAGGTATTCTGAATTCTTCATGTGTATCAGGGACACTGATAGCATCAATTTACATCATTCTAATTTTCAATCAGTCTGTGGTTCTTGTTAAAGAGATTGTAAAGAGGTTTTCTAAATTTTTTATGTATATCAGAGACACTGATAGCATCAATTTACACCATTCTAATTTTCAGTAGCACACAGGGCCTCAGTTTTTTGTCCCATCAGAATGTCTGATTGAAAATTAAAAGGTTGGGAATCAATGTCCCCCTTGTCAGTGATGCAGGTAAGAGGGGCTGACATGAAAAAAGTGTCTAGTTGTTCAGATGGGACAATAAACCGAGGCCCTGTGTGCTACAGGTTGTGCACATTAAAGATCCCTCAACAGTTGGAAATCGAAAAAGAGCAGGCTGATGCGGCTGTCCTGGCAAAATTTCCCTCATTGCACGTTCCATGGCGTTACCCGTCTTCATTAGCCCACATGGTGCAGAAGAGTAGGACGTAAAACTCTATTCATTTCATTTCGATACCAAAAGTGTCAACAATTGTGACCGGTAGGTGATTGGGCTCTATTTCTCCTCAGGGTAAGAGAAATTCTGATGCCTGTGCCAGTGCTTTCAAAAGTCAGCCTGGTGTCGGCTTTCACCCTCTAATACCTAACCCTTATCTTCCTCAAGGTAAGAGATATTTTGATGCCTGTGTCAGTGCTTTCAAAAGTCTGCAAGGTGTTGGCTTTCACCCTCTAATACCTAACACTTATCCTCCTCAAGGTAAGAAAAATTCTAATGCCTGTGCCAGTGCTTTCATGAGTCTTTCACCCCTTTATACCAAATATGTCAACAATTCTGACTAACCTTTTTGTTTTCTCTTTCAGTATGTCAGGGAGAAATCAACGAACTTACAGCGAGAGGCGACTCGAAATTCCGTTACAAGAATTTAAGAGACAGGTACACAAACTGTACTTATATCCAAGGAAGTTTAGAAATCGTGTTTTTGGAAAAAGTTGATTCTGTGACCAAATATGATTTAAGTTTTTTGAGAAGTATAAAGGAAGTGACTGGCTACGTGTTAATTCTCAGTGTTTTTGCCGATTACGTGCCGTTAGAAAATTTACGGATTATTCGCGGGAGAACGTTATATCATGATAAATATAGTTTATATGTGGCGTTAAATTCTCATCCGACGGCAGAACCTGGATTACGAGAATTACGTTTCAATTCCTTATCAGGTAAGTTTTAGTATATTATATTGATATTGAACTTATTACCTTGCCCATTTTAAAAAGGGAACAGGGTGATTTGATTCTGTAAGCTTTCGACACCCAACAACAACCCCCCCTTTAGCTAGATTTGATAACATTTTATATTGATACCGAACTTGTTGCCATGCCCATTTTAAAAAGGGATCAGGGTGATTTGATCCTGTAAGCATGCAACATCCAACAAACCCCCCCCCCCCCAACCCCCCCCCCCCCACCTTTTTAGTTCGATTTGATAACATTTCATATTGATACAAAACTTGTTACCATTTCCACTTTAAAAAGGTATCAGGGTAGTGTATCATAAAGTTTGATTCTGTAAGCATGCAACTCCCATTTCATTTTCAGAAAGTTAATATTCTGTATTTTATATTTTTCAGAAATTTTACGAGGAAAGGTGTTTTTTAAGAATAATAATAAACTTTGTTATGAGAATACAATTATTTGGAGTGATATTAATCCACGAGAAGAACCTCCAGTTGAATTTCATTTTGATTCCATTCATGAGAAACGACAATGTAAGTAATGATTTATCTAGCCTCTATCATCCAGTCTCGTCATTCAGATGGGACAACAAACCGAGGCCCTGTGTGCTACAGGCTGTGCACGTTAAAAACCCCTTGACAGTTGAAAATCTAAAAAAAAAAAACGTCTAGTCGTTCAAATGGGACAATAAACCAAGGCCCCGTGTGCCACAGGCTGTACATGTTAAAGATCCCTAGACAGTTGAAAATCCAAAAAAGGACAGGCTAATGCCGCTTTCCTGGCAAAATTTCCCTCGTTGTACACTGCATGGTGTTGCCCTTCTTCATTAGCCGACATCTCAATCTCAATTTTTCTATGCCTTGATTTTAGTTTGGAATATATGTAAATAGTCTTCAGAAATACTAGAAATGTACCAAAATCACATAATTCCTTCAAAAATATCTCAAATAGGAATTTTACTCACTATTTCTATACATGTCTTTTCTATATATCACAGAGTATCTTAAATTCTGGACACATGGATTTGAAGACTGAAATTTTGATGATGACCTGTGAACACTATTACTGATTAGCTCAGCTAAAAAATTCCTGTTTCTGAGACTAAAGTACAATTGATCAAGAAATGGTGCATCTGTCCCTTTAAGTGATATCTTGGCTTTGACAGTGATAATATCTTGATAATCAAATAAACCATTTTGATGAAATGGCTCTGAAGTTCTATATTCCAATATATAGAAACGTTTTAAAGGGACAGATGCCCCATTTTGGGGGTTTGATTTGAGTCTTGAATATATGTAAATAGTCTTCAGAAATACTAGAAATGTGCGAAAATCACATAATTCCTTCAAAAATACAACAATACACTATACATGGTCCTTGGCTTGGTTGATTTGAGTCTTGAATATATGTAAATAGTCTTCAGAAATACTAGAAATGTAAGAAAATCACATAATTCCTTCAAAAATATCTCAAACTAGAAAATTTACTCACTATTTCTATATATGTCTTTTCTATAGATCACAGTGTCTCAAGAAAAGAAGAGTCGTCATTTTAACTTTCGAACGTAGATAATTCTAGACACACATGGATTTGAAGGCTCAAATTTCGACAGTGAACTGTGAACACTATTACTGATTAACTTAGCTAAAAAAATTCCTGTTTATGAGACTAAAAGTATGATTGGTCAAAAAAATGGTGCATCTGTCTCTTTAAGTGATATTTTGGCATTGACAGTGATAATATCTTAAAAATAATGAAACTAAGAAATTATGAAGAAAGGTAATGATAAAAAAAGATAAAAAAAATTATGAAAATTGTAACTCAGGAAGATAAAAGTAAGAATTGAAGTGGTTGAGACCATATTAATTTAAGTTATAAGTGTAATCTAACATCTCACCAAGCCAAGTATCTTATGATTGAGAAGAAGTTGGCATAACGCAGACACCATAGTAACCAGAAATTCTTTACCATTGTGTAACCCCTCCCTGCCTAATCAACAAGTTTGCTATTCGCAGACACCATAATATTGAGGCTGTGTACATTTAAGATCCCTCGACAGTTGGAAATTGAAAAAGAGAGGGCTAATGCCGCTGTCCTGGCAAAATTTCCCTCATTGTACCCTGCATGGCGTTGCCTGTCTTCATTAGCCCACATGGTGCAGAAAAGTAGGGTGTAAAACTCCATTCATTTCATTTCATTTCTACAGATGGAAATTGAATTTGTTGTTAGTCTAATGCCGCTGTCTTGGCAACTATTCCCTCATTGTGCACTGCATGGCATTTAGTATTATTTCATGCTTGAAAGAGATTGTTAAGAGGTTTCTAACTTTTTCACGTGTATCAGGGACACTGATAACATCAAACACTTAGTTTTAGAGGAATTGCAGGAACCACAGACATCTCATTGAAAATTGGCATGATGTAAATTGATGCTATCAATGTCCCTGATACAAATAAAAAATTTAGAAAACTTCTTTACAATCTCTTTAACAAGAACCACAGACATCTGATTGAAAATTAGAATGATGTAAATTGATGCTATCAATGTCCCTGATACACATAAAAAATTTAGAAAACCTCTTTACAATCTCTTTAACAAGAACCACAGACGTCTGATTGAAAATTAGAATGATGTAAATTGATGCTATCAGTGTTCCTAATACACATAAAAATTTGTGAAAACATTTTTACAATCTCTTTAAAACCCTGAAATAAAATGTTATTTATTGAATGACTGATTTTGAAAATGGTAATATCCGGAATGCCCAACTTTAAGCACAAGTCAAATATTGCTTCAGATTTTTCAACCTTGACAATAAAGAGTCGAGTGGAAATTCAATTTAAGTTATTTGGAATTGAAACCTTGCTTACATAATATCATCAAATACTTTACGAATCATTGCTTAAAGAGACAGATGCGCCATTTTTAAGACCTATCTTACCTTAGTCTCAGAAACAGGAATTTTTTTGCTGAGCTAATCAGTAATAGTGTTCACAACTCACTGTCAAAATTTGAGCCTTCAAATCCATGTGTGTCTAGAATTATCTACGTTTGAAAGTTAAAATGACGACTCGTCTTTTCTTGAGACACTGTGATATATAGAAAAGACATCTATAGAAAATAAGAAAAGAAATTCCTAGTTTGAGATATTTTTGAAGGGATTATGTGATTTTCG